TCACTCTGTCGCCCAGGCTGGAGTGCAGTGGCACGCTCCCGGCCACCGCAGCTTTGACCTGCTTGGCTCCGGCGATCCTTCCACCTCAGCCTTCCAAGTAACCTGAACTACAGGTGCATGCCACCAAGTTCGATGCACTGCATCGGACTTTAAACTTCACATCATCCTTGCTTTTCTTGATCTTGACATATTTAGCATCCTTCCAGCAAGCTGTGAGAAGAAAGTACTTGATTTCCTCAAGTTTCCAAGGCATGGCCACGAGGTGTACAGGGGAGGGTGTGAACCCACACACCCAACCATGAGAAAGAAGGATGGAAAAGAACCCTGTGTTTGTTGTTTTTAAGTCACCAAGTCTGGTCATTTGTTGGGATGGCAGCAGATTAACTCATCTCCCAGCCTGACACGACAGCTCCCCCCTTCTGCTTTCTTTTTGATGTAATATATATTTGGCTCATTATTTTGTTTGTCACCTGTTTCGTCCACGAAAATGTCAGTTGTCTTTTTCTTCTTTTTTGGGGGGGTCGGTGACTTACTCTGTCACCCAGTCTGGAGGGCAGTGGCATGCTTATAACCACCACAGCCTCGGCCTGCTGGGCTCCGGCGATTCTTCTGCCTCAGCCTTCCAAGTAGCTGGAACTACAGGCATGTGCCATCACGCCTGGCTAATTTCTTGATTTATTGTATAGATGAGGTCTCGCCAAGTTGCCCAGGCTGAACTCGAACCCACGGGCTCAGGGAATCCACTAGCTTCGGCCTCCCAAGTGCTGGAATTACAGGTTGAGCCACCAAGCCTGGCCTGATTTTTCAATTTCTGGGAAGATGAGGTCTCGCTATGTTTCCCATAATTCGCTATGTTGCTTGTAACATAGCAAGAACTCGTCTGTATAAAAAATTTTTAAAAATAAGCTAGGCTCGGTGGCTCAGCCTGTAATCCCAGCACTTGGGAGACTGAGGTGAGTGGATTGCCTGAACCCGTGGGTTCAAGATCCACCTGGGTAACTTGGCGAGACCTCATCTCTATAATAAATAAAAAAAAAAAAAATTAGCCGGGCATGGTAGCATGCGTCTGGAAGGCTGAGGCAGAAGGATCACCGGAGCCCAGCAGGTCAAGGCTGCAGTGACTGGGAGTGGCCACTGCACTGGCAGTCTGGGTGACAGAGTGAGACTCCAACTCAAAAAAAAAAAAAAAAAAAAAA